CCTCATTTTAATTTTTAAAAAAGAAAAAATTATATTATTTTTAAATAAAAATTAATCATTTTGTCTCATTAACAAATTTTGTTTTTTAAGATAATATATTTTTTAATTATAAATCAATATACAAAAAAAATATTATAATCACTTAATGTTATTAAAGAGAAAAAAACAAAACTGAAATTTATTAGATAATTATTAATTAAAAAATTGACCATAAATTAAAAAATTAAAATGGATAAATTTGTTAATAAAATTAAAAAATTCTAATCCACTAGCGATTTTGTACAAAAAACTATATAAACTAACTTTTTTAATCCGTTAACGATTTGGACCATAACAACTATTCCTTAATTTCAAACCACTATTCGTTAGTTTCAAACCGTTAAATAAAAAGTTTACCAAACACTTTAATTGTAACGATTTCGAAATATATAAATTTACCAAATACTTATATTTAGCGATTTAGGTAAAACCGCTAATAGTTACCCCAAATCCACTATACTAAACGGGCCTAAAAGACTAAGAACGAATTCTAGCTTTTTTTCTTCCTTCTCTATTTCATGTAGCAGAAAAGCATATATATGCGTTGAAAGATGACAAAACTCTGTGGAAGAAAGACATGGTTGAATGGGAAATGGTCTATTGAGGACTCAATTGTGACTGGAAGGAAATTCTGCAAAAATCAAAGGAATATGGGGAAAATTAGAGGTAAATTCCGCCGCGATTCAGGGTGTCTTGGTGTAGAAATAGGAAATTAAAAAGATGAGGGGGATTATGAGTGAAAGCTAGCAGTTTAAAAAATGTTAGGGTTTAGGGATTCCATCTTTTTCTCTTTACCTCAGAAGAATTTCAGGGTGTTTTAGGAGTTGAAAAAAGAGGGTGAAATTCGTCTAGGAGAGAAAATCCAAAATTTGTCCTTGATTTCAAGGCAAGAACTTTAAGCAAAAGAAAAAAAAAAGGGAAACCAATCAAAATTCAGAGGTCTTGAGCCCTCTTTGATCTTCCCCATCATCTTTTATCCTTGATTGCCTTTGTAATATTTGGTTGGATTGTGGAACTAAGGTGAAGAAAGAACCCATGCTATGGAAGGGGGAATAGAAAAGTAGATGAGAGAGAAACTTTAATTGCTTTCCTTTTTTTTTTTTAAACAGTGGGATACATTCGACGACTGCGCTTAGCATTGCTCCCATTAAAATGTTCCAAGCGATGTATTTTTGCCGGTACTATAATATAACGAGGAAAGTAAAAATTAGAATCTTT